AAGGAGCAATCAGAAGGACTTGACACAGAGTGGCATAGATGATCGAGATCACCCTGTGAAGAAGACCAATGGGAGGATAAACATACAGGTATTTGTTGGTCCAATCTTGACTGAAAGCATCAACAGCAAAAGGACGAGGAACCAGAGACCAAAACAAGAGATAATTTGGTATTGAGAGATGTGGCAAATGCATCCAGGTGAGGAGTACACCACAGAAGGTATAGCCACAAGAAAACAAGAGAATAAAGATACCACACTGTCGGATAAACTTTGTCTGGACAGGAAAGTCGATCCACAACAAGATAGAACACACCCAGAACATGACACAATGATAGAAATATTAAGCATGTGGGCTCAAAAAAAGAATATTTAAAGTCTGTCCAGAAAGGGAACGAGAATGGGTGTTACTTATATTAAAGTTTTTCTTCATTACCTATTCAAGCCGTCTCCAGTGGGTTCATCATCATCGAACTTTTACTGTTTATATTTTGTGCTACAGCTTTTCCATGTTGCATATCTCATGGCTTTCTTCTGTAGCATTTAAATAAAACTATATCTATTAGTTTTTCTTTAAGTACTTTTGGTGATTTAATTCAGATATATATTAAACTGGATCATTATTTTTCATTCTACAGTGACAGAAAAAAACAAACTTGTATATTACATAAAAAGATAAAATAATTGGATACTTTTGTACAGACTTGTTCTTGAGCAATATTATTATTTCACTGAGGTATTTGGATAACTTTTCTGAATAAATATGAGACCATAACTTAAAATTTCATATATGTTGTCATTAATAAAGTATATAGTTGTTTATTGATTGGGTAGGAACTTTTGTATTATTTTATATTACCTATTTTTGTGATATTCAAAATATATATATAAATTACAATGTGCGTTAAGATGGTTCATTTACACATTAGTAGTGTTTATAAACAGCTATCTGGGTAAAACTCCATTCTGACATTTCGACAGCAACTTCAGTTCCAACAACTAAGGTATTTGAACAAGACATCAAGTATGTATTATTATAAATTAGGAAAATAATATTTACGGACAATTTCTTTCAGAAACACTTATTACCATTTATCCCTATTTTTTGTGTTTCATATTAGCATAACTTTGAATTATTCCATAAAATTTTTCAAATTAATATCATTCGTAACTATGAACCAACAATATCTGGGCTGCTTTTTCGGTGTGCTCACAAAATTTTCACAAACCGTTTGATAATCAGAACTGCATACATACGTACATACATTTAAGCAGAATAATTTAATTAACACGACTTAATCACAAAATTCATGCATCCACAATTAATTTAGAAATCATGTTTTCAGTGTTTTTAAATCAAACACAACAGTATATAATCAAGTTATATGCATAGTTACCTTAACTGTCATAGATTAGCCTATGTATATTCTACTGTAGAAAACAATATTTATAACACACGCCTGGTAAAACTTTTACTTTACGCATTTCTCTTACTCTTCTAGCCAGTGCTGCTGTTGACCAATGATGGATCCTGGTCGACATATTCGTATCCAAGCAATGGCTTCTGCTGCTGTGAAACGATAGTGCTTCATGATATAACAACCTATTAATGTTCCTGTCCTACCCAGGCCAGCTTAGGTAAACAGAGAGACAAACATAACATTACACTAATATCTCGATATAAATCATAAGTCATTAAAACATACTTGACAATATTAGTCTCCACTGGCTTTGCCTCATTTTTTGTACCACATGGCAAAAAAGTAAGCATAACAAAAATTCAATCTATATAAATTTTCTATAACAATCATGAATAAAATAAGTTACTTTTTATATTAGAAGTCTTTAAGCACCATGCTGTTATTTATCAATGAAAAATTAAATTTGGTTTCATCAGCATGCAAACAGATCAAACTGATTACTTGTGTTTAGCAGCATTTCACACACTATTCTGAATACACAAAAATATTTCATATTTATAGACCTACAGATAGTTTAAGTGACTGTCTCACAATAAAGGCATACAATTTGGCAAACTTATATTTATTTATTTATACAGTAAATTGAAGTGAACAACAAAGACTCAATGCCTCACTTTTAATTCATATCCACTCCCAGCTCTAAATCAGTACTGACAGAAAGCTATAAACATTTATTATACAATAAAGTTGTTACCCAATCTTCTAAGCTTTCCCAAATATTTGTTTTTATGAAACTTGCATAAACATTCCATTTTTAATAATTAAATAAAGTTTCTTCTTGTTTCCAATACCGTACAAGACTATTAGATTGATAGAAAAGAAGACATTTGACTGGTTATCTCACATCAATCTAAGCTTTATTCTAATGTTTAGTCTCTTGCTTAATATACGTGTACATATATATATGTTCTTATAATTCACAATTTACCTAATTAATATTGTCCTGTAGTTTCTATTTCATAAATAGGGATCATAAGACAGGTTTTTGGCCTATTGTTTAAGTGAAATTTATATCCAGTGAAGGTACGTTGATGAAGTTAAACTAAAGAATTTCGTAGTAGAAGACTGTTAAGTTCAACATTAGTATTATAATATCTAAGTCTATAGTATACATATATACTAATAACATAAAGTTCACAAAGCAACCTACTCAGAATTAACGTTTTTTTCATAGCTTCAAAATTTTGTAACAATGACTGTACATAAGCGCATATTATACAAACATTTCACAACAAAGAAGTCTGTATTTAAATCTTATTTTTATATTTTTTGAGAAACAATGCAATGAAATACAGAGAATTAATACACATTGTTTTTACCACATGAGGGAAAGCACTTCTAAGTTTTATATTAATGCTCTTCATTTTATTATTTTATATAATAATGGGCCAATCAATGTATGCTCAACTAAATCCCTCAGTTACTTTTTCTGATCATGCTAAAATATGATATGCTGTTAAGCCCTACTCTGTATATCCACCTCATTAAAATTTTCATTAACACCTAAAATGACGTAAGCAATTAGAATTCTGAAATAACTTTAGGTAAAATATATACATTCAAAGTTTGTAAATCTTGACGTTTCACCCACTTATAAGCATACACACACACACACACACACACACACACAC